TCTACTCGCCGTGAAATGTTGATGAGAGGGTGGGGATTACGCGCGGGGGTGGGTGGAGGGGTGGATGGACAAAGTTGCGGCGCGGCATCGATCGGTGTTGAGTTTCAAAACGAGGCTCAACTGACGCGCGCGCGTCCCTATTGGTCCCCGATGAAGTGTATCGCGTGACGTTCTTCATAAAGCGTCCGTTCTCCGCGCGCATATTTATCATTCGCCGCCGTCAGCGGAGTTATCACCGTCTCATTAAAATTAGTTTCGCGCGATCAATTGTGCCGCGCCGCGCCGCGCCGCGCGACGTTGGCGAGCAAGTTACGAGGAAGCCCCGTGTCATCGATCGCGGGCTTCGGTTGCGGAACCGAGGAGACCCCCAACACCGTGGCGCAGGGGCGCGGAATCTCTACGCGACTTTTCCGAGTCGCGAAGCGGCCGCATTCCGCGGCTCCACCGCGGGCCGACGGTATCGAACCAATAATCGCGATCCGTATCGCGCGCGGCGCCGCGAGAGGCGAAAAATTTGTAATTAAGATTCCCCCCGGACTTCGCGAAGCGCAATTCCCCGTAAACAGCCGCGCCGCGCGTATTAAGCGGGCGAAATCCCCGAGTCACGCCACGTGCCGCAAAATCGATAATTTCAGAGCATCGCCGGGAGTTTTCAGACGAGGAGGGGCAGCGATTGCAGCTCACTGACGTTGCTTTTTCACGGCCGCTGATCGTCCCCGCTCGGTCGACGGTCAGTCGCGTCGACGGGAGTGTCGCGATCGGTGCACCTCGGCGTCTCCGCGGGGAAAAAGATCCCCCTTCTCCGTCCAAGGGGTCCCTCATTAACCTAGCCGTCCGCCTGTCGTGGTCTACGTGCTCGCGCACGCGTGAGGCCTGCCAGTCGCGCGCGTCGCCGGAATGACAATTACCTCCTTCCAGTAGGGACAATTAACCCGCTGGCCGGCGAGAAACGGTGCCGAGAGACGAGCGCGCCCGGTTACACGTGTCGTCGGCCCGCCGAGAGTTTTCGGAGCGCGCCCCCCCCCCCCAGAAGAGGTACAGGTTCGCCCGTGGCCGCGCAAAGTTCCGCAAAGTGTGTACATAGACGACCCCGAGGAGGACCTTTCCCCGGCCGGATTTAGCCGGGTCTGGGTCACTCGCTCACGTGTGAGCGAGCCTCCGGGGGCGTGTTGGCGCTTCCGGCGCGAAACGTGGTTCCACCCCCCGCCGACCTTGAAGAGGGCTCTCTCTCTCTCTCGCTCGTCTTTTTCCACCGCACTCCGTGTGCCGTGATACCGCGCGCTCGCTCCCTCCTTTTTTCTTCCTCCCGACGGCTGCAAGTTAATCTCAACTTTCGACACGGGACGTAAGTTTTAAACGAAACGCCGCCGAAGTTGTTCGCGCCGAGGGTTTTCGAAGCCTCGCAATTCCGCGACCTTGAGGAATTCTTCGCGCGCGCCGACACCTGTCTTCGCGCCCGGCGAGGGCTGCCGCGACGTTGGATATCGCGAGCAGGCCCCGTCGTCAGCTTTGGGGAGAGCGCGGTCGGAATAGTTTCCGGCGGATCCTCGATCTGACGCGTTTCCCCGCGCGCGACGCAACCTTGAGGAAAACTTCTTACCGCGTTCGCTTCGCCCGCGCAACCACGCGCTCGGATTTTCAATGTCCCGCGGATAATGCGAGCTTTGTACTCGGGCGCGCTGAATGCCCCGCTTGTGCGGCGGGCAGACGGTCGCGGCTACCTCCCGCAATTTCCCCGAGATAAAACCGATTCCGCGCCGGTTCGGCGCATTGTGCGGAGCGATAACAGGCTAAACGTAATCCACTTCGATAACAGAAGGAAAATATCTCCCGCGGATAGAGCTCCGTTTCGTAAACGGAGAATCGTGCGGGTTCGGCGCTCCGTTCGAGTCTACGAAATCCAGGACTGCGCGAGGGAACTAATTGAATCTCGAAGAATCGACGAGTGCGCGATCCGACGCGATCGCGGACGGGAGTGAGATCCCCCTCGGGGTTACTCCCGTGCGCCAGAAGTCGGCATCTCGACGCAGCATCCGATCGTGCCCTGACTCGGCGTGCAGCATGCGCGAGTAACGCGAGACAGAAGCAGCGGCAGCAGCAGCGCGGACGATAACTCATGTTCAGCAGGTTCAAGCTACTTCAGGGCGGTGTCAGCTATCTTCTGTTATCATCAGGTGCGCAACATCGAGTCGTTCGTCCTCGCCCTCCGTCCCGCGCCGCTCGATTTGCTCGATCCGATAGGTCGATCGATCGCCTCGGCGACGGCGGTCGACGGCACACACGGAGCTCTCGCAGCCGGAGATAACTCGACGATGAATTTACGGCGCATTGTTGCATCGGCGTGGCGCGCGCATTGCACGGGTCGGCTCCGACGTTCGGCATTGTTACGCACCTGGAGAACGCCGCCGCCTGGCAAATTTCGAATCTCGATGATCGCCGGCCCGCCTACGGCCGGCCGGCCGGCCGTTCTCCGCGTTTCTGGACCGGTCGAGCGTGCGGAATCGTCCGCGCGAGTCTCCGCCTCGGTGTCGTCGCGGAAAGTCGCGGGGCCAACTATTTCCAGATAATATCAGTTCGCGCTCCGAGAGAGAGAGAGAGAGAGAGAGAGAGCTCGCCTCCGCCTCTCGGCTAAAGCGCTTAATACTTTGTTTAGACATCGAGCGCGAATTACGGAGGCGTAAACTTTCACGTTGAGAGATTTAAGCGGAGTCAACTCCAGCCGCGGCACGATTATTGACACACGTGCGCTAACAAGATACGCAGCGGCCTCGTGATACTTGGGGCCGCTAATTATTTTCCGACATCGAGAGTGGCGGCCGCGTTGCGTCACTGATTGATCGCGCGCGGCCATCCGAGCCCGCGACCGCTGGATCGCAGCGCAACGAATATTGATAATTAGGCGGCGGAAGGTCGCCGGGTAATTTCGTACCTATTGTTCAAATGACGGCCGATGAATAATAAGTGCCTCGGCGTTGCAATTGTCCAGTCGTTTATTGACATTATAACCGAGTGCCTTTCGATCGTGAATGTTAATTATTGGACTCGCGCGCAACAGGACGGTATCTTTGCGAAGAACACCTTTGCGAAGTTCCCCTTATCTACTCAAAACACAAAAGTATGCTAAGAGAGAGAGAGCGACAAGTGTCTGCCGCGTTTATTTATTAGGGCTCGCCTCGCGTATTTCACGTGACGTAACTTTTAACTTGGAAAATAATTCGTAGCACCTAACACTAACAATAAGACGAATCCAAGGTTGGGCGAGAGACTCCCGGTCGCATATATAAGGAACCCTTCTCCCTCTCGCCGGAATTATTTCCGGCTGCCGCGGCAATTTCTTGCCTGTGGCTTCGTAATAACGTCGAAGCACGCGCTTCCACGTTGGACGAGCGTGGTGGTAGAATGAGGGCGATAAAATACGACGTCCCGTAAGGACGTGTGCGGTGGTGCGCGCGCGCGCGCGTATTCAGCCCTCTGGATTTCGAATTTAACGCCGCAGCTCGACCGGGGGCTCCCCCTCCCCTCCCGAGGAGTCCCTTTCCCATGACATGCGTTGTGTGCATGCGTGCACGTTGCGTGTACGCCATTGTTTACGCAATGCCGGCCGACCCGCGCGCTCTTCCACCTCTTCCTTTCATCGCTACTTCCTCTGCTTCCCCCTTCCCCCTCCCCTCGTCGTGGCGGCAAGCAGGTCATCGAATTTCTAAAGGCGAATTTCTCGCGCACGACAGACGGCCCCGGCCCGAAAGACCGCGCGTGTGTGAAACGACAAACCGCCTCTTCGTACATCTACGCTCCTCGTCAAGCTGCCTGGGCCTCTCTTCTCGCCTTGTCGTCGAATAAGTCGTTAACCGCGCTTCCCCTGTTGAATCGCACGATATTTCGGGTCGCGACGGCATTACGTAAAGCCCGATCTACAATGTGCGCCTAGAAACATTCTCTTTTGTACAGGGCGAATCATTGAGGTTGTCCCAACCATTTACCATGAGGGATGGATTACCGACTGCAACTGTAGCCAACTCGGGAAAACGTGGAAAATCTCGTCATGTATGTCTCAATCGTGTAATATCTAATTTTATCTCTTAAGATACAAATTGGTTTTACATGATTGAAATGTATATAACGAGATTGTTTTTCCATTTTTTCCCCATTTTGGCTGCAGTTTCGGTCGATGATCCACCCCTCATGGTAAAAGGTTGGGACAGCCTGTATAAGCATGATATAAGAATGATTCACCCTGTATAAGCAAATCCGAACGCTTCGAACATTTGTCGACGGCATACGATTGCACGGTGTACAACGTACAATTTGTCGGCTTAAACAAAATTTTTTAACGTGGAGGAAAGTCCCCTATTATGAGATAGGCTGGGATAGCGGAATTTCTGCTGAATTAATTGGCATCATCTGTTGGTTCCACCATGAATTTATTGCCCTTGAAGTGAAAGCTGTTTAGTTGAAAATTGATTGTTAGATCGCGTAATCGCTGCGAAAAAGATTTGTGACTGAATTTGGATGTTGAAAACCTGCCATCTCGTAATAGAGGACTTTCCTCTATCGGCTACAAAATAGAACGTTTCTAGGCGCAAAGAGCACGTTGTAGCTCAGGCTTAAGCCTCGCCGTGCGCTCGCATTAAAAAGTTATACAGACTCGTTAGGAGATTATTTCTCTCAAAAGCGCAGACTTAATATTTGAAGTTAAAACTCGACGTTTAACGGAATATTTTTTCAAGAAGAGACTTAATCGTACAAGACTGCCTGAATCCTTTTATTTCTTGCAAGAGAGAGATACGAACGGAGGGGGAAAAATGTTCGCGTCAAATCGACTCGATCACTTAATTCAAGATCTTTGGCTCCCAATTAGATTAACTATCCCGGGCACTTAATTCTTCGCTCGCCGGAGATCCATTTTAACGTAACGCACGCGACCGGCCGGTGACTAGACGAACTGCATCAATTCGCTACTAAATTTGCTAATTTTGCTATTTCTATTTTTTCTGTTACAGAACGCCAGCATAACGCCAGCAGACTGTCTGCGTAAGTACCACCATACATCGTCTCTCATGTTAAACGTTTCCTTTCCGCACGGGGCTGCCGTAAGTAACTTTTATCTGCCCTCGTTTCTGGTCAACCTCATATATTCAAAAGTATATTTTAATTTTTACACAACATGTGCTTCGCATGCGTCGACGTGGAAAAGTGCGCGCTGTTAATTATGTATTCGAGTCGAGTAATCGATAACTTTTTTTTCCTTCGTCGGTCTCCGCGTCGGGTAAGAGCCTGGGCAAAAAAATTTTCGTAATCGTTTACGGCTCCGTCCTAAGACTCGAGTCGGTGTCGGAAGTCAACGCACAAGGAATTGTCGTAGACTCCATCGCGAGGCGACATGCGTCTGCAACTCCTTGTGCGTTGACTTCCGACACCGACTTGAGTGCCGCAACGGAATCGTAAACGGGCCGGACAATCCTTCTGCATAGTATAACTAGTAGGTGCACTCTCTGTCGACCCCTTTGATCTTCGCGGTCCCGATCGCGTGGTGTTCCGCCATGTCTCTGGTGCAAATCCAGCGGCGCATGTGCGTGTACGTGCAGTCTTATTCATTAATGCCTGCGTTTTTATCATCGTTTTTCTCACCTACACAAATCACTGAGTTTCAGGCTGTATGTGTGTATTGTATTACCACAGGCTTTAATAGAAGCTGTGTGAACTACAGCCTGAAACTCATCGTTATGCAGATGGGAATAAAGATTATGAAAATGTGAATCCTAGTGAAGCTGAGGAATCGACGCAAAACGAAACAAATGACGGAGTGGACCTATCGTAGACTTATACAAATAGACTACGTGTCTCGTGAGAACAATTGAAGACTACATTAAAGTGGGAGAGAGGGGGGGAGGGAGGGAGAGGGGGAGTGAAAGCAATGGCCTGAGTTAGAGACCCTCAGGGAGAGTCTGGAAAATATTCGCCATTATACGTCAAATCTAGTAACTTTTATGAAAAGTTTTGAAATATTTTACATAATAAGAAACGAAGTTGCAATATATTATTTATTTAAGATTACAACGCATCGCCATTGCTTTGCTATTATACGCTCGCTTTTTTATTAATTTCTTCTCGTTCGATATTCGTAACCTAGACATAATTTTGTTTCATAAATTGTGACAATTGAAGATATCTAAAAGACTATTATGATTTTAGAAAATTCGTTATTAAAGTGCTGTTAAACACATACCAAACACACATACAATACTGTTAAACACATCCGAAACGTTTCTACTGACTAACTTTCGGCGCATAATGGCCGGCACCAATCAGAAGCTGAACGTTGAGTTTCCAGACTTTCCCTTGGGGGTCTCTAGCCAGGGTGAGTGTGTCTTTGTCTAATATGCGATGTTTTCTCCCCACTCTTAACAAAGAGCGAGATAGCAGCATCACTCACGCAATATCTCTATCCTTCAGTGTAGTCTTCAGCGCGCCCATAAGGACGCGCAGTCTATCTGTATAAATCCATGGGACCTACTAGTTACACTATGCTTTCTGCACAGTACTGTCCGCGTTCAGATCGCAGCGTCGCGCCGGCGGGGAGCAAACCGCGCGGATTTAATGGAATAATACAAAAAAAAGAACGATTGCAGGATGCGTCGGTAAACATACTGGTTACATTGTAAACCGGTAAAGTTTGCTGCAGATTCTCGCAGGGGCTTTTAATTAAACCGTTGCGCAGCGCGCCGCAATTTTTCGGGACGTTGACTATTTTGCCAAATATTTTGTTTTCCACCGCGCGCATGCAAACACCATAGTCGCGCGCGCGGTCGCTGCTGTTTACCGTTAAACAGTTTTAATCCGCGCAAAAAAGTGCCGCGGGATCCCGCGACTCGGACAAATAAAATTACGAAAGGCGGAGGAGAGCGATGGTCACTCGCGACGGCGACGCGTCTCGTATCGACGTTACGCGCGCGTGTAAAGGAAAGAGAGACAGAAATGGAAAACGGAGACTCTCTCGTGAATTGGGAGGGAAAATACGCGCGACGACGAGGAACGAGTCCGGCCGACACGTGGACGCCGCTAATAAAGATGTTACCAAGTTTCTCACGTGTCACGTGGGTTTCTTGCTCTCGCCCGGCGCGCCGGAGCTTTCTTTCTCCTCCCGCAGAAACCCTTCGTACATTTTTATGACGGACTTACCGGGGTCCTCTTACCCTATCGTCGCCTTTCTTCCGCTCTCTGAAATTCTCTCGCAAACTGGGAACCTCCCGCGAAGAAAAACTCCCCGTTCTCGACGACGCAATATAAATCCCGCTTGCATCTACCTCGATTCGGCAAACCTGCCGATAAATAAGCGGCAAATGGATCGTATGTGCATTAACTTAATTGAAATTTAATATGGCGAAATTAAAAGCGCTGCGCTCGTCCAGTTTTTTTTACTCGTTAGCTAATTAGTCGCGACTTTGAACTGCCTTTTAGGTCGAAATTGCGTATAACAAAGGTCGACGCTTCCGTCACCGCAATTAGAACAAGAAGTTTGGCAACTAAGAGCTCTCAAAGGCAAGATTGCTTATCGGTTCCTCATCGATACGCTCTTCCCTCGCGCGATAATGTTATCTAGCGTCGATCTTCCGACCGGTCTTTTTTTTTAGTCGTGGCTAATTAGTCGCGATTTTGAACCGCTTCATTTTAGGTCGAAATAGCGTATAACGAAAGAACGACGCTTTGGTTGCCGCAATTAGAACAATAAGTCTGGCAACAAAGAGCTCTCAAAGGCAAGATTGCTTATCGTTCCTCATCGATACGCCCTTCCCTCGCGCGATAATGTTATCGTCGATCTTCCGACACGGCGGGATAAACTGAAACGTACGAATCTGCTAGCTGGAGTGTCGCGCGGGGGAAAACCCGGGGGGGGGGGGGGGTTGCCGTGCACGTAGCAGACTCGTAAATTGAATTCGCGGATGCCGGTGGATTTTCGGGAGACGGGAATTGGCGGCCGATCCGTGTTGTGTGCACGATAGCCGTCCGGAATCGGGGGCCGTTTACGCCACCGCCGCGTCGCGGGGCGAGAGAAAGGGATTAACGAGCCGACGAAAAGGGTAGGCAGGACACGTCCTCCCACCCTCATCCGCTCTCTTTAGGGCTTCGACCTCTGCCGACGGGTCTCCCTTCCCGCGGCCGAATCGCCGCGCACGCTTTTGGAAAAATAGGCCGTTGCACCGCGCGACGCCTTTTGCGGGGTCGCAGTCGTAAGGATAATCGACTGTAATTGGTCAGTTCAGTCGGAACACGTAAGAATTAACCAATCGTAGTCGACTATTCTTACGGCTACGACTTTACGACTTCCAATTTCCGACGGCTCCTCTCGCATCGCGGCGTACGTCCCGACCGATCGTTTATTCTCACGCGCCGTATGTCCCGGGGTGCATAATCGGTGCTCGAAGCGAAAATTACTTAGTCGCCCGCCGGCTGTCGCGCTGACACGGGGAATTAAAAGCGTTAATTGATCCGTTAATACCCGGTGTTTTCTCTGACAACACAAGAATGAATTGCCCCGAGAATTAATCTCCAAATGAATTAATCAGCGTGTTCCTTCAGAGGACACGGCCTCCTTCGCGCGCCTGCGCCGGCTCGCATCCTTTTTTCTCCCCCCCCCCCCTCTCTCCCCAAGGGTAGATCTCGATATTCCTTGGCGCGTGATTGACGCGGGCAATTAAATTTCAGTCCCCGTCTCATAAAAGTCAGAATAGACCGCAAATATATCGAGTGCTCTGAAAAAAAAAAATAATACACCGCGCTCATTCCATCTGCTTAGCTCGCAATATAACCAGAGACCCGTGCGTTATCAGACGAGAGCGGTCTGTGGCCTTGCGCGATCCCGATAACGCGCTTAAGTCACACTTAAACAGGCCGATAACGAGTTTCGGTTATTCGCGAACGCTCGATTTGCAATACAGGCGTGTTATACATAATATTTTCGCGAGGCAACTTCCGTTCCTCCGATCTCGTCTGTCCCGACTTGAGCAGAGTCCAGCGTCGTCGTCGGCTCGATTGCGACATTCGCGACTTTCTCGACTCCGAGCACAACCGGGGCGCTGTAAATCTCGCTTTTGAGCCCGAGAGCCGCGGTACGCCCGACTCCCCGTTGCATGCGGATCACGATTGCAAAACGGTTAATTATTAATTACTTTTCCCGCGCACGTTTACGCTCCGTTCCGCCGATCACGCGCGAAATTTACGAGCGCGTCCGATCGCTCGATTATTTCGTGCCTCGTCGAGCGTCTTCTGGCGCACGGCGTTGCACATTGTATATCGCGATAACGGGTTATCGGGATACCTATCTGCGGTATGTGCGCGAGTTGCAGACGTAAGCAGCATCGTCGACATAGGAAACCGGCTGCGCGCGCCGGCGATCTCTCGCTACAAGCTTTTCGCGCCCATATCCCGCCATTATCCGGCAACGGCGGTGCCGTTCCATTCGGGGATTCAGTTGCTTCACCCGCGGTTCCTTCAGCGTGGCGCGCGACAACGGGGTCCAAGTCGCACGATGAATCCCGGCTGTCCAGCGCGATGCGCGTCAGGATCGGCGGAAACGTAAGCGTACGCGGGAATTTACTCTTATACGTCCGTTGACTGTTGTGCCGGTAACATTGTAGAAATGTTCACAATGCCTCGCACGTTCGCGAATGTCGGACGAGCAACACGCCACGTTCACGAAGAGTTGAAAATGCATTGCTGTTAAAAAATGGTATCACTTGAACGATAAATATTAGAAATAGTGCGTAGTATTTCTTGTCAGTAATTTTGCGACTGTACATTCAAATAGCTCTGTCTCGGAAACAATGGGGAATGTGACCTACATTCATATGAACATTTTTGCTTAAAACGACCGATACTATTACCAGAATATTGACCTTTCCTACTGGGACACCCTGTATAGAAGTCCATGGGCAGTTCTAACTGAGAGGGTTGTGGTCACAATGTCGGCAATAAGTGAATGCAAGACTGGGGCCCGGTTTCCGGACCACGCGCGGGGTGATGCATTCGGCTGA